TCTCTCTGTCTTTCTCTCTCCCTCTCTCTGTCTCTCTCTTTTCTCTCTCTGTCTTTCTCTCTCCCTGTCTCGCTCTCTCTCTTTTCTCTCTCTGTCTTTCTCTGTCTCTCTGTCTTTTTCTCTGTCTCTCTCTGTGTCTTTCTCTCTCTCTGTCTCTGTCTCTCCCTGCCTCCCTCTGTCTCTGTCTCTCTCTCTCTCTCTGTCTTTCTCTGTCTTTCTCTCTCTCTGTCTCTCTCTCTCTCTCGGTCTCTCTCTCTCTCTCTCTCTCTCTCTTTCTCTCTGTCTTTTTCTCTCTGTCTTTCTCTCTCTGTGTGTCTCTCTGTCTCTCTCTGTCTCACTCTTTTTTCTCTCTCTGTCTTTTTCTCTCTCTGTCTGTCTGTCTCTCTCTGTCTCTGTCTTTCTCTCTCTGTCTTTTTCTCTCTGTCTTTCTCTCTCCCTGTCTCTCTCTCTCTCTTTTCTCTCTCTCTTTCTCTCTCTCTGTCTGTCTGTCTCTCTCTGTCTCTGTCTTTCTCTCTCTGTCTTTTTCTCTCTGTCTTTCTCTCTCCCTGTCTCTCTCTCTCTCTTTTCTCTCTCTCTTTCTCTCTCTCTGTCTGTCTGTCTCTCTCTGTCTCTGTCTTTCTCTCTCTGTCTTTTTCTCTGTCTTTCTCTCTCTCTCTCTGTCTTTCTCTCTCTCTTTTTCTCTGTCTGTCTGTCTGTCTCTCTGTCTTTCTCTGTCTGTCTCTGTCTCTCTGTCTCTGTCTCTCCCTTTCTCTCTGTGCTCGAATGAGTTTTTAATGACTTCATTCCTTCTGATTCTCTTCTCCCTTTCTGTAATGTAATAAACTCAGATGAATGCATGTTATTGTTTTGTTGAACAATGGTATAATAATAAACTCGGATTACTTTCTGTTTTTTTTTTTTAAAATCTCATCAGTCCTAAGAGCCTTTTTAATTAGGGTATTTTGGAATAGAGAGATGGACAGCTTAACTCATCTATGTGTTTACCCTTAATTCTGTTGCTTCTTTCTTAAATAACCACTGAGACAGCGGTCACATAAAAATGCAAATTATTGTGGAAGTTTTCATGTCGCTGTTCTTTGCACACAACTGTGCATCTCTTTCTTTTATAAAACAAACTCATCAGAAGAAAAATACCACCAAAATAAAATCTTGTTTGAATTACCTCAGTCCCTGGTTAATGCTATCAGTAACAAAATACGCTTCTTAAAGCTTTTTAGCTGTCGTTTATGTAGACATCTGTTTTTAACCTACTGGGATATAATGGAGGTTTAAAAGAGGATGTCTATGTACAGGAAGTCCTCAACGTACGACCAAAATTTCCATTGCTAAGTGAAACATTTATTAAGTGAGTTTTGCCACAATTTAAGATTTTTTTATCTTCTGACAAGCAAAGTCAGCGGGGAGGCCAGGTTCACTTAAAAACCGTGTTCCTCATTTAACAACCTCCTAAGAGCCTTTTTAATTAGGGTATTTTGGAATAGAGAGATGGACAGCTTAACTCATTAACTCACTTTTTGCAAGAAAAAAGTCACTTAATAAACGTTTCACGTAGCAACAGAAATGTTAGACTCGGATGTGGTCGTAAGTCAAGGAGAGTCTGTATTCAAAATCTACTTCTTTTCTTTCTGCGAGTTAACGATTGCAATAAAGCTATTTGAAAATGTGAAATTTTATCCAAAGCAATAAGCTTTTTTTTTTCCTTTAAATTTCCCTCTGGAAAAAAAAAATATCTGCCCTTATTCCTTGAAACAGGACAAAATAAGACCAACGATTAACATTTTAGCATGCACAGATTAACACACAGAAGGAGAAACTGACATTATTCCATGCATCACACCACAGAAAAAAACGACAGGTTCCGAATGAATATTTTTCCTTTCTTTCTGCATTTTAGGCGTTCAAGATCAACACGAAACATTTCCAAATGGTTCTATATCGGGATAATAGCATACGTGCCCCAATCTTGTTTTCTTTATAAAGGTGTGTTCCTACTCCCCTTCCCATTAAAAGCCAGAGCAATTAAAACCAAATATTTTTCTAAAAAATCTCTCGGGAAAGAAAAACCAATAAAAATAAGAGGGGAAAAATCTAGCAA